AGCACCTTGTAACATTTTGAAAGTTAAAATAAAACTCTTACACGTAATTGAGTTCCAATGTTCAAAATTACTCGAAAAGGAAACTTAACACAGAAAGTTTGTGCAACTTGAAGTTCTTAACAAAGTCCTGTGTATGTGTATCTGGAATGTTCCTTAATGCAATTACTTGCAAGTTTCTAAAGAGAGTGATATTAATAGCGTAAATAATCAACCTTGAAGCTTAATGTATTCTAATATGGAACTATATGAAAAATAAAGGTTTAAGTAATTTTGTGATTATATTTCCTTTCTTTGTAGTAGATTAATTTAAAATTCCATCTTCCAATATAATTTGATAAAAATTGAGAGTTGTTATTGCAGATTTAATTAGACTGGCTCAGATAGATTGTAGGTCATTGTGAAAATACTTCTGTTTTGGTAATGTGAATATTAGATTTGTCTTTTAACTTCAATTATTGTAGGTGTAAGCTTGTTAACAAATTTAGTTTTGCTTGGTAAGACTCCTTAGGAACAAATTATATGATTTAATATACCTTATGACAAATAATATACAAATCTACTTAGAAAACATTATTCATTCAAATGCTAGTCTTAATCTGGGAAGTTTTGAAATATATAAAAATACACTTTTTATATCAAGTATATAATATTAAAAGTTTTATAAAATATGAGAACTGTGTTGTGGAGTTCATATAAATTATATAGCAAGATGTGATTCCATAAAATAAAATGTACCAGATGCATGGTTATATTTGTATAAGTAATAAAACAAATTATTATTTTATATATATTCATTGATTCACCATTGTTGTCACACAATTTCCTGTTGTTTCCTATATGAAAATGCATACATTAGATTCCAAGCTGTAATAGCATTATTGAGTTACACATTTTTGAAATCCACAATATCAATGAAATGTTTAATTCATACATAAAGTTATAAATAGTTTGTACGAACTTCAATGGAAGACAAAAACATCATGGAATAATATGTTTATACATTAATCATCATTATTTGGAAGATGATAAGTTTGATTATAGTAAAATTAAAAGAAGCTAAGCATAAAATGTGTTCAGAGCTTTGACTACATAAACAAAACAGTCATCACAAGTTATTTCACATACATTGCCAACTGAGTTTTATAAAGCTACAAGAAGATAAATGTGAGTAGTGTTCATATAACAATTGGTTTGATAAGTTGCAAAAACTTAATATATAATAGTAGATTATAATTATAAGGAAGCCTTTTGTATAATCCATGATAAAGATTGTTTTGTTTTTTAAATATTTTAACTAATATGGATAAGTAAATTTATGATACAGGTAGTGATAACTACACTAACATTAAAACATATCTCGATACAAGTAAGCACACAAAAATAGACTATTTATATAATTAACAAAAAAAGATAGATAAATACAACAGCAATAATAATTTTTGGACTGAAGAGAAATTTTTTTGAAGCTAAGAAGTGGTTGAAAAATACTTTGAAGTGTAGAAATTATACATTTTAGACTAGTATTTTTAATAATAAACAAAGATCCTATGAATACCAAGTAATATGGCCCTAAACATTGTGTTCAGAAAACAAATTTATCAATATATGTGTCTACAAAACATTCAAGTCACTGACAAAAGTTTATTGCTTGCTAATGAGTGTACTCAATCAAAATTAAAGAAAATGTGTCCAGCACTATCTTATTTTTCCTATAAATGAACACAAAGCTAACAACTGTATGACTTTCATTACACAAACAAGTAGAAAACGTCGTAGTTACAACCTGGCATACATTTGTTTTAAGATATTTCATTCACTGTGGTTCTGATTTTTCACTCCAATATTTGGAATGTAGTCACGACCCATAAGGCACGCAAATACCGTCATTACCATCTTGGGTTTGACCTGAACAATATCTTCGGGTAAGACATAAATACGAGCACCAATTTTACGAGCAACAGAAATGGCATATTTGGCATTTGCCATTTTCTCCTGTATGGAAAAAAAATATAAATATATAAATGTTTATTATATGGAAAAATTATTATAACTCAAGAAAAAAAAAAATGATCATGGAAATTTAACATATTGCTCAAATGCCTACTAGCTGAGGAGTTTTAATCATTTTATTGCACTGAAACTTCACTTAATTTTTTCAGCATAGGCTCAGTCCCTGGAACCGACTTTGTAACCATTTTGTGCTTGTTATAATTTTCATGCTGTAACTTTTAAATTAGTAAGCAAATGTTAACGAAATTTGGCAGATTATCAGTAAACATTACAATGCTATCATACACAAAATATTTTTTTTTTTATTAAGTCTTGAGTTTTGTAAAGCAATGTTTTTCTCTTGTCTTTTTTCTTTTCACATGTTACCTATCTAACATGCAAAGTAATTTTCATTTTAAGATCAAATATACTTTTATGCATCAGAAGATTTTCAATATGCACATACGAAATAGATATAATGTCCAGATA